GTGTGTGCACAGTGTGTGCACAGCGTGTGTGTGCACTGTGTGTGTGTGCACAGTGTGTGTGCGCAGAGCTGTGTGCACAGCGTGTGTGTGCACAGCGTGTGTGTGCACAGTGTGTGCACAGAGCTGCACTGCATGCACTGCCCACGCATTGCACTGCCCCTTCCCTTCCCCTTTCCCTTCCTTTTCCCCTTCCCCTTCCCTTTCCTCTTGCTTTTCCTCTTCCCTTTCCCTTTCTGTTTCCCCTTCTCCTTCCTTTCTCCCTTCCTTTCCCCCTCTCCTTTCCCTTTCCTTTTCCCCTTCCCTTTCCTCTTCCTTTCTCCTTTCCTTTCTCCCTTCCCCTTTCCTTTTCCTATTCCCTGTTCCCCCTTTCCCTTGCCCCTTTCCTTTTCCCCTTTCTCTTTTCCTTTCCTGTTCCTCCTTCCCCTTCTCTTTCCCCCTTCCCCATTCCTCCTTCCCTGTTCCTTCTTCCCCCTTTCCCTTTCCTTTTCACCTTCCCCTTCCTCTTTCCCCTTTCCCCCAAAGTCAGGCCCCTTCTGCGCCTGGGTTTTTCCCGGGCACCACACGGTTCCGCCGGGCAGACGGGCCCTCCTGGAGCCTTTGGGCAAGCTCGCAGTGTCCCTGGCCAGCGCTGGCCTGTCCCAGCCGCCCTCTCCGGTCCGGCGCAGCGGGTGCTGATGCTCGGCAGCCCGGCAGCTCCCGGTGCAGGCGGTGCCAGCCCCATGGGGCAGTCCTGCGGTGCCTCTCCGTGCCAGGGACGCGTCCCTACATGCAGCTCCTGGCACGCTGGAGCACGGAGCGCTGGGGAGCAGAGGGAGAGAGGCGGGAGGAGGCTGCGGGTCCAGGAGGAGGGGACGGTGGGAAGGGGCAGGGAGGAGGAAGGACGCGCGGGGCGGGCGGGGGCCGTGGGTGCTGCCGCGCGCCCGTCCCTGCCGCGGAGGTCTGACGTTCTCTTCTCGTACTGACCCTGCATACTTGGCAGGACGACTACTTCGTGACGGCCGACCAGCTGTGGGTGCCGCTGCGCTGGATTGCTCCCGAGCTCATTGACGAGGTGCACGGCAACCTGCTCATCGTCGACCAAACCAAATCCAGCAACGTCTGGTGAGCGGGGGCGCGGGCTGCGCTCCGTGGGCTGCAGGGGAGGCGGCCACGAGGTGCGAGGACGTGGGCTCTGCCCTGTGGAGCAGGCGGGAGGGGTGGGCAGCACCAGGAGGCATCGCGGTGGAGCAGTGCTGAGGCCAGCTACGGCTATGGGGATGCCAAGGGCTCCTCCTTGCCCTGCAGGTCCCTGGGTGTCACCATCTGGGAGCTCTTTGAGCTGGGTAACCAGCCCTACGACCACTACTCGGACCGGCAAGTGCTTGCCTATGCCATCAAGGAGCAGCAGCTCAAGCTGCCCAAGCCCCAGCTGAAGCTGTCGCTGTCGGAGCGCTGGTGAGGAGCGTTGCCAGAGCCGGTGTCACGACCATGTGCATGGGGGGCTTGCACTGGGTCTTGCAGGTGGCTTTGCATGGGGGTCTTACAGGTGCCCATTGATAGGAGTCTAGCAGATGTCCAAGCACGGGGTCTTGCAGGTGGTTGTGTGAGTGGGGTCTTGCAGGTGGCCATGCATGATATCTTGCAGGTGCTCCTGCACGGCGAGGTCTTGCTGCTGGTCGCAAGCATGGTGGTCTTGCAGGTGGGCTCTAGAGGTGGCCATACAGGGTGTCTTGCAGGTGATCGTTCATTAGGGTCTTGCAGATGGCCAACCACGGGGTCTTACAGGTGGTTGCATATGTGGGGACTTGTTGGTGGCCTCATGCAGAAGGGACTCTCAGGTGGCCATGCATGGGGTCCTGCACAAGGTCTAGCCTGGCCACCATGGGTACGAGGCCAGCCCTGAGCACGGGCTCCGTGCCATGGCAGGTACGAGGTGATGCAGTTCTGCTGGCTGCAGCCCGAGCAGCGCCCCACCGCTGAGGAGGTCCACCTGCTGCTCTCCTACCTCTGCGCCAAGGGGGCCACGGAGGCCGAGGAGGAGTTCGAGAAGCGCTGGAACTCCATGAAACCCAACGGCGGCGGCTCCGGCGGCGGCCACCCCGGCGCCGAGCTCTCCTCCTTCCCGCTGCTGGAGCAGTTCGCGGCCGACGGCTTCGCGGCCGACGGCGACGACGTCCTCACCGTCATGGAGACCAGCCAGGGCCTCAACTTCGAGTACAAGTGGGAGCACCCCAAGAGCGAGCCGCTGCAGGCGCCGCTGGGCGCGCTGAGCCCCGGCAGCGCCGCGCGCTACCACGAGCTCTACTACCCGGCGGCGGCCGCGGGCCGCCTGGGCCTCTCGCCGCCGTGCTACGCGTGCGAGCGGGCGCCGGGCTGCGGCG